AAGTTTTACAATTCCTTGTGCTATTGGAGAATGGTTTTATGAAAAAGTTTTATGTGATTTAAGAGTCAGTATTAATCTTATGTTGTTATCAATTTTTAGAATGTTGGGCTTAAGAGATATTTCACCTACAATTGTAACTCTTCAGTTAGCTGATCGTTTGATTACCTATCCTAAAAAAGTTATAGAAGATGTTTTAATAAAGGTTGATAAATTTATCTTTCCTATGGACTTTATTGTATTAGATATGGAGGAAGATAAAAAAATTTCTATTATTTTAGGAAGACCATTTGTAGCCACTGGAAGAGCTTTGATAGATGTGTAAAAAGAACAACTAACTATGAGAGTTAGTGATCAAGAGGTTACATTTAATATTGCAAAATAAATGAGATTCAATGAGATACACTACAAAAGAATAAGATATTGAATGCTTCAAAATGGATATTAATGAGTATTTTAGCCATGAATATTTCAAAAAGGCATATGAAAGAAAATTTAAAAATGAATATATGGAATATCAAGCTGAGGATAAAATCCAAGATGAGTTTATGGAAGTGAGTACGGAAGAACTGAAATATGTTCAGGAAAAATTTGAAATGTTAGATCCTGCAGAAAATGACAACAATTTGATTTCATCTATTAAGAAACCCCCTAAACTAGAATTGAAAACACATCCTCCACATTTGAAGTATGCATTCTTAGAATATTCATTTACACTACATGTCATAGTATCCTCAGAACTAACTGATGCACAAGAACAATAATTGTTAGAAACTTTGACAAGATATAAGACAGCCTTTGGATGGACATTAGCTGATATTAAAGGAATCAGTCCTTCAAGTTGCATGCATAGAATTTTATTGGAAGATCAACATAAACTAAGAACTGATCCTCAAAGGAGATTGAATGATATGATGAAAGAAGTTGTTAAGAAAGAAATTATAAACTGGTTAGATGCGGGAATAATATATCCTATTTCAGACAATCCTTGGGTGAGTCCAATTCACTGTGTTCTGAAGAAAGGAGGTGTAACTGTAGTGACAATTGAGCCTAATGAATTAATAACAATAAGACAAGTCTCTGGATAGTGAAACCGCACAGATTATAGAAAATTAAATTATGTCACCCAGAAGGATCATTTTCCTTTACCCTTTTTGGACCAGATGTTGGATAGATTGGTTGGGCAAAAATATTTTATTTTCTAGATGGATATACCAGTTATCACCAAATACTTATTGCCAATGAGGATCAAGAGAAAGCAACATTTACTAGTCTTTATGAAACATTTGCTTTTTGACAAATGCCTTTTGGATTATGTAACACACCAACAACATTTCAAAGATGTATGATGTCATTTTTTAGTGATTTGATTGAAAAAGGGATTGAAGTTTTTTATGGATGATTTTCCTGTATTCAGAACTTCCTTTGAAATATGTCTAAATAAATTAGAAAAAGTTCTGGATTTTTGTGAAAAGACTAATCTCATTTTGAACTGGGAGAAATGTCAATTTATGGTTGCTGGAGGAATTTTTTTGGACATAAAATTTCAGAAAATGGCATGGAAGTAGATCTTGCAAAAATTTAGGTTATATTAAACCTACCTCCACCTGCTACTGTAAGAGGAGTTAGGAGCTTTTTAGGACATGTTGGATTCTACAGGAGATATATCAAAGATTTTTCAAAAATTACTAAGCCTTTATGGCAACTTCTAGAAAAAGATGCAAAGTTTGGCTTTAACCAATATTTTCTTAAAGCCTTTGAAACTTTAAAGGAAAAATTGATCACTGCTCCTATAATTATTTCACCGGACTGAGAGAAACCTTTTGAATTAATGTGTGATGCTAGTGATTATGCAGTTGGAGCTATTTTAGGGCAGAGATATGATAATATTTCTAAAGTTATATACTATGCTAGTAAGACTCTTAATGATGCTCAAATTCTAAGGATGCTCAGATTAATTATACCACTATTGAAAGAGAGTTATTAGACATTGTGTTTCTTTTAATAAGTTTAGATCATAATTGATTGAACTAATTGTGATGTGCATACTGACCATTCTGCTATTAAATATTTGATACAAAAGAAGGATGCAAAACCAAGATTAACTAGATTGACACTTCTGATGCAAGAGTTTGATTTTGTAGTAGTCGATTGGAAAGGGACTGATAATCAAATAGTTGATCATCTATAGAGGTTAGAACAGAAAGAAATACTTGATTTGGAAAGAGAAATTAAAGATACTTTTCCAGATGAACAACTTTATGTTGTAAGAGGATGGGAAATACCTTGGTATGTTGATATTGTGAATTATATTGTTAGTGGTATTTTACTATATGGACTGACAAAAAAATAGAAAAAAAAATTCATTCACGATGCAAAATCTTATTTTTGGGATGACCCATTTTTTTACAAATAATGCAAATATTTTAAATATTTAGTTATAAGACGATGTGTGTCTTATAAAGAAATTCAGAAGATTTTTCAAAAATGTCATGATTTTGAATTCGGAGGATATTTTGAGAATGATAGAACTGTTAGAAAAATTTTACAATATATTTTATTGGCCTACTCTATTTAGAGATGTTAATATTTTTTTTTTTTGAAAAAAAGAGCTATCTATGGCTCCTTACATGTTAAGTTGAAAACTGGATTACAATATGAGTGATTAGCCACTCAAACCACTCTCATCTCACCTATCCAAATTAGACTACATAGAGATGCTTACAAAAGTTGTGGGAAGTATATATATTTAACTTTGTATCCATCCCAGTGTGTATATATATAATCAATCCCTACAATGAAGATAATGAATGGATAAATTGTCCCCATGTAGAAGGAGAGCTAAATGAGAAGGAGGTATAGTCCCTACAGCAATCTTTTTTGTATCCTTCCCCCTTACTGCCAAACTATGTGCTGGATTGTTGCCTTCCCTAAGGATGTGCTGGAAATTCACTTCAACCTTGATCAACATACTCTTGATATTAGTAGTCCACCTAACAATATTCTATGGGGCACCTTCTTCTTGTTTCAGTATTCTGATACAGTTGAGGGAATTAGACTCTACCACCAATTTTGTGATGTTGCATTGATTGGCAACGCAGATAGCCCAATAAATGGCTATCATCTCAGTTTCAAGTGCATCATTAGCCTAAAAAATGCACTTTCCTTGAGAGTTCCTAATGATTCCTCCCACACCATCAACCTCCTTTGAGAAGCTCCCATCTGTATTGACCTTCAGCCACCCTTTAGGAGGGGGGTCCAGAGGACCAAAGTTGTCCTGGTCAATTTCATATTTTTCCTATTAGGAAATTGAAAATTTTTTGATATTTTATAAGCTTTTGCAAATATGAAGTGCA